GGGGAAAAAAAAAAAAAAAAAAAAAAAATTATTTATTTTATATCATGCAACAAAAAATTATACAAGCACTTAAAATTCTGAAATTCTCCACTTAATTTTCAATGCATAATTAAATTAATCTTTATGTCACAAAATATTTCCTAAAGCTGCTGGGAGGTGGTGACGCACTCCTTTAGTCCAGCACTCATGAGCAGAGGCAGGCGAATACAGGAAGTGAGTTCCTGGACACAGGACAGTCAGGGCTACCAGAGAAACTCTGTCTCATGGAAAGGGGTGGTTAAAAAAAAGGGGGGTGTCCCTAAGCCCATTAAGTACCTTACAGTATTTGCTAATTTGTCTCAAAATTTTAGCTGGTCACTACAGAATACAAGCTCCTCACTCCCCTACAGGCAACAATGCAGAACTCCCAAAAGCACTATGAACTTAAGAGATTACTTTCTAGCTCTTCTTGGATCAGAAGGATCTTAGATAGTTCTAGAATCAAGATGTTCCCATGACTCCTGGTTTCAGAATCTTCCAGACAGAATGAAGTTCAGATCTGCTGGGTGGAGAGGCCAACACAGTGTGGTGGGACAGAAACAATCGTGTAAGAATAAAAACAGTGAAAAACTGAAAGAAAAGAAAAAAGACTGACAGCAGTGAGCCCTCCTTCCTCCTCCACAGGTCTGTGCTAAAATTTCTAATAGAAGAATTTGAGAAGAACTTGAGTCCAGCTTGCTTCCCCATTTCTGTATTTCTGTCCAGCTTCTGTATTGGAAGTATCCACACTAGAATTCCTACAAACAGAAACAAATAAAATCAAGTAAGGACAATTAAGAGACATCAGGACATAAGGCAACATAGTAGCTAAGTATTCTACAAACACACACACACACTAAAACACTAAATTTTTTTTTTATTTTATTTTATTTTTTTGGTTTTTCGAGACAGGGTTTCTCTGTGGTTTTGGAGCCTGTCCTGGAACTAGCTCTTGTAGACCAGGTTGGTCTCGAACTCACAGAGATCCGCCTGCCTCTGCCTCCCGAGTGCTGGGATTAAAGGCGTGCGCCACCACTGCCCGGCTAAATTTATTTTTATTAATTTTTTTTTTAGAAAACCTGTCAAACTTAACAAGATGAACTTAAGACACTATTAAATGTAGCTAAAGAACTTAACTTTATTCTTCCAATGTATCTAGGAGTACTTAGTAATTTATTTCATGACTTTTTTTTTTTTTTTTTTTTTTTTTTTTTTTTTTTTTTTGGTTTTTCGAGACAGGGTTTCTCTGTGGCTTTAGAGCCTGTCCTGGAACTAGCTCTGTAGATCAGGCTGGTCTCAAACTCACAGAGATCCACCTGCCTCTGCCTCCCAAGTGCTGGGATTAAAGGCGTGCGCCACCATCGCCCAGCTTCATGACTTATTTTTTAAACGTGCAAAACTACACACTCATACCCCATTACTCTAAATTTTATTTGTCATTCTTCCTTCAAGTCTGAAGAAAAAGAATAATTTATGAAGTTCTAGAGATACCAATCTCACAAATGTAACATTTATTCTCAAGTCTATACTCACGAAAATTAAGACTAGCCAGTATCACACTGGCCTAAAACCTGACTAGGTTCTTGACTTAGAATACTTGCTGCACATCTGTTGGCTCACACTAAAACACAAAACTAGACGGGTGTATGCATCTCATAAAAAATTCTCAGGACAGATTAAAGATTAACATTAAAATTTCAGTTTCATTGATTAACCAAATTAAACTTTTAAAATGCTTATTAATTGTGAATTAATTGCAAATAATTTTCTTTAAGGTTTCCAAGCACTTCAAAACAGCTAATAAGGCAATATAACCTTTAAGTAGACTATACATATTGCACTTTTCTAACAGGCTAGGCTAGTATCTTCTGTGATGATATAAAAAGTACTGAATAAAAATACGTGTTAAAAATCAGTTAAGTTCTCAATTAATCTCCCTCAAATGATAAATATAATTCTCAAAACATCCCAGGTTTTCCTAAGACTTAATTTCTTAAAAAACTTTTAAAATTTGCTGGGCGGTTAGTGATGCATGCCTTTAATCCCATAAAACACTATTTTTTTTTTTTTTTAAAGAAAAGAGGATGGTGGCAGATTTTGAAGCAGGTAGGCAGACGTGTGATTTGAAACCAGCCTGGTCTATGTAGCAAGTTCCAGGCCAGCCAAGGCTATACAGTAAAATGCTATTTCAAGAATTAATAAATAAAAAAATATATAAAAAGGGAATGGACTCAGTACCACACAAACAGACTAGCTAATTCGGGATGTGAGACCATGGGCCAGTTCCATGCTCAGATGGAGCCAGGCTGTTAGGCTCCCTGGCAATGCAAATGAAAAGGGAAACCGCTACTTCCATTCGTGCCCTATTTTTCAGTCTCAGGTAACACAGGCTCGTTCTGCCATGGCATCTTACTCACTGTCACCAGTTTTCCTTGTTGGCAGCACCCCGGACGCTCTGCCCCTCATACTTAAGGAAGCCTTTCCTGGGTGACTTCGCTTTAACCTCCAGTGGAGTAGCTAGGTTTGAGTTGTGCTTTAACATCTAAAAAGCAATAACAAATCCAGAAGTTGTTATAAACATTCAAGAAAAGCTACCAACAATTAGATACAGGTTACTTAAAATACTTTAAAAATCAGCAGTCTATACAGACATTGAACAGCAAAGACGATAAAAAAATGTCGCATGGAAGTTTGATGTCTGAAATCTAAATACATGTTTACTAAAGTTAATGGAAACATCTTGAGAGCCGTGTTAAGTCTTGCTGATGGTGTGGATGACAGGAGGACAGACAGTCTAGTGCACTGAAGAGAATGTGTATAATGGTTGTGACTATGTGCAAATCAGCAACCCATCATGGAGAGGGAGAGGCTCCTAGGCCCTACCTCTCTCTCTGAGTACTAGACACAGTTAATTGATGTAGGTGGGTCTTCTATCTATCTGTTGTTTTATTGGTTAATTAATAAAGAAAACTGCTTGGCCTTATAGGTCAGAATTTAGATAGGTGGAGTAGACCGAACAGAATGCTGGGAGGAAGAAGGCACTGAGGCACACGCTATAGCTCTCCTCTCCTTCCTGGTAAGCCACTACCTCGTGGTGCTACACAGATCATTAGAAATGGGTTAATCAAGATGTGAGAATTAGCCAGTAAGAGGCTAGAGCTAATGGGCCAAGCAGTGTTTAAAAGAATACAGTTTCTGTGTAATTATTTTGGGTAAAGCTAGCCGTGTGGGAGCTGGGAGGCAGGAAGCGGCCCGCAGCTCCTTCAACAGTTAATGAGGAGGATGAGAGTCTTCAGTGGCTTAGCTCCAGAAACAGCCCTAATGAAACTCATTTGAGGACACATCGACCCTCTTCTGTCTTAACATAAAAGGAGAGGGGCTCAGTTGGGAAGGGAAAGGATTGCAAGACTGGGACATGAGAAGGTACTGGGTGTCTATGCGACTGTGAAGGCCAACAAGATATATTATGTACATGGATGAAAATGTTATCATGTAAGCCAGGAAGTGATGGCACATCCCAGCACTCGGGAGGCAGAGGCAGGAGGATCTCTGTGAGTTCGAGACCAGCCTGGTCTACAGCATGAGTTCCAGGACAGCCAGGACTATACAGAGAAACCCTGCTTCAAAACCAAAATAAAAAAAAAATCATGAAATCAATCATTTTATATAATTAACATGTTTAAAACATGAAAAAAAAAAAACCCCAGAAGCAGCATACTGGATGTAATGTGTCCTTGGGAATGGGCATGCAATAAAAGGTAGAATAAGAAAAGCAAACAAGGAAACAAAGACAAGGCTCCCTTACCTTCTCATAGAAAGAAAATCCACAACAGGAAATTGTAACCTTCTACATACACCCCCACAAAGACAGCCGTTCTGTTCATTTTACCTCCTAAGAAAGCAAGCCGTCAGGAGGGACTGGAGACGGCTTAGCAGATACGAGCAAGTACAGCTCTTAGGATTAGAGTTCAGTTCCCAGCCCCACTTTGGGCAGCTCACAATTGCTTGTAACTTTAGATCTGACACGCTCTTCTCTCTACTCAGGCACCTGCACATATCCCACAGAGACACACATACATCACACACATAATTAAAGACAAAATAAATATTTAAAAAAGACAAAACAGTAACAGATCCTTTGTTGATCTTTCCTGGTGAATCAGTTCTACTGGCATTTAGGCATTTTCTCACAGTTCACTGTCCTCACGGCTCCTCATGAGGCCGAAAAGCTCTAAAATAGTCACTGAGGGATTCATTGCACCTGAGTACTGACTGCCCAACACTATAGTAACCCGAATTAGAGCCAGACTGGCCTGCAGCATCTACTAGCTGGTGATGCCATACTACAGAGTCACCTATTTTAACATCATGTGAGTCAGTCTGAGAAATACAGACACATTATTAACGACACCCTGCTGTGGTGAGTATACAGAAAACAATGTTTTCCCTGCCAGTGGAACAACAAATAGTCAATGTGGCAACCACAGATAAAAACATACTATAGAACATAAAGAGAAAACACCTTCTAAGAGTTAGGAACTGGTACTTTGTTCAGGAAAACCTTAAGGATTTTCACAATACTCAAAGTTACACATTGGCTTGATGGTAAATATGATAGTTTATATGCAATTTCGATTCTCTAATACAAATACACAATTGTGAAAATATTAGAAAACGATAGCCCGGGAACCAACCTGGAGAATGTCCTCTGGAATTGCAGTGACTTCCGGAGGAGTAGGTGTTCTGACATTTTCACAAGAAGTAATTGTAGGAGAAGGGGGGTCTTCAAAATTCTCATAGCATTCATCTGAATTTAAAATTAACGGAGCACAATCTTCAACTTCCAGATCACTTGATGAACTATTTAGTTTTGATAATGGATAATTTCTATATACCTACAGGATAAAAATAAATCACTGAATTATATGGTAAGTAAATAATAATGTTGTAATGTATTCTATTAACTCCACTGGAGTCTATTAAAGCAGGCCCACAAATGATCCTACTTTCCTGACCAAAATCAAGAAAATTGTATATAAAGACAAAGTACTATCTTCACTATTAATGCAGGCTTTTGGGGAGAACTCAACAGAACGGTGGCTGAACCCTGATCTGGGCAGATTCCCCACCCCATCGTGGGCAGCACAAAACCGACCAGTTAGAGCTGAAGAGGAAGAGCTGGGTAGCAGCTCCTGAGTCCTCAGGAGGAAGATTGAGCTCTAACTTCATGAAATGTTACCAAAGCCTCGAGTGCAGAATTTCAGTGCTAAGGGTAGAGCGTGGAACAAAGGAGGAAGGCCCAGCTCAGAACAGAATGTCTCCATACGCTGCCTGCATACACACAGGATGGTTCCCCATCTAAGAAAGACTTAACATACACTCAACTCATGCTAAGTCTCAAGTTAATAAAGACAGAGTGGCTAGGAATATCACGGCAATGGGGTGCCTTCCACAGGGATAAAACACAACAAGTGGGCATGGTGGTGCAGGCAAGAGGTCATAGTCAATTCTCAGCAATGAAGCAAGGTCAAGGCCCCTCTGAGCTACGTGCAGCCCATTCTCTTAAACAAAATGAAAATACACACACAACAAAGATGTAAATGAGCTGAAAATGGCAAGTGCCTGCAGCAGCCGACACGTGAAAAGAAACTGTCTGCAGCAGCACTGCCCGGTGTCACTTACTAGCTGCAGCTCAGGTGCACCAAGCTACATTTCAGTGCTTAAAAGTACTGTGATTGCAGGCCACCATACTGAACACTAAAAAGGACAGAGCATTCCCACCATCAGCAGAGTACTGCCTGTCTCACCTGACTAATGAGGAAGGTTTTGATGATGTTAGATAAGGTAACAAGGAAAACTGAACCGGGGAGACATTAAATTACTTAAAAATTTCTTACTCAGGGAGAACCACTTCGATCTGTTTCTACTAATTGTTCTTTCTTTTTTGAGGGGGAGGAGGGATTTCAAGACAGGGTTTTTCTGTAGCTTTGGAACCTGCCCTGGAACTAACTCTGTAGACCACGTGCTCTGCCTGCCTCTGCCTCCCAAGTGCTAGGATTAAAAGCATGTGTCACCAAGACATATGCATGTATATAATCACTTATCTTCAAGAACAACAAACTTCTTGTAAACATTCTTTTTGCTTGGTCTCAGCTACCTTTCAGATCACGACAGACAGCTGCCATCAGCTCTTGGCTCCGCTCACTGTACTCACTCTGCTGCCTTCTCACTAGCTACTTACATTTCTGTAGGCATCTTCTCTCTTTTGGTTTTTCGAGACAGGATTTTTCTGTAGCTTTGGAGCCTGTCCTGGAACTAGTTCTTGTAAACCAGGCTGGTCTCGAACTCACAGAGATCCACCTGCCTCTGCCTCCCGAGTACTGGGATTAAAGGCGTGTGCCACCACCGCCCGGCTTCCTGTCTCCTTTCTCTGCTGTTATGAACAGATTCTGACACAATATGCACACTCCTAAGAGCTGCACTAGTCTAATCTGTCAGACACACTAACTCCAGAAGTCATGACTGAGTCCTAAGGAGGAAGATGAGAGCTTTTAACTTTAGCGGAACTTTACCGAAGCTCTATTGCCCACTGTAGAAGGGATTTTCAAACCAGGAGTACAGAATTTAGGTGGCAACGGTGAATCTGTATATTCAGCATCTAGAAGACATGAAATAGAAATGAAAATTAAATTGAAATTTGGGGCAGGGAGCAGAAACCAGAAACTGCAGAAGTCACCACGAGGCAAGGAAGAGCCCGGGGAATGCAGCAGTTGTGTGTGCCTTTGGGAAACTGACAAGTTGTCACACACAGTAAAGCAGTAAACTCTGCTGTGGCGGGGATTCCACAAAAAACCCGCGTAGGTAAAAGCAAGACAAGAGGGCAGGGTTGGGAGACTGTCTGTGGACCGGCTAGGCCGTTAGTCCGAATCCACATGGGCGACAATGAAGGACACTTAAAAGAAATCCCACACTAGCTCAGAATTGAGAAATAGACGGTTATTTATTTAGGGGTAGATTCACAAGTCAGAATCCTCTGTTTGAATGGAGGTGAGAAACCGAGTCCCGCAGTGCGGGCACATGCTCTACATCGGCTTACATAGTATAAGAGGCCACGCCCCAGTGGACGGGGAACTACTGGCTGTAAGACTTCCTACAGCATGTGTGTGTGTAGGTGTATGTGCATGAGTACAGGTGCCGAAGCAGTCAAGTATTTCCCTGGAGCTGGAGTTAAAGGTGGTTGGGTGCCTGATGTGAGTGCTAGGAATCGAATCCAGGTCCTCTAGAAGAGCAGCATATGTTCCTACCACTGAGTCATCTCTGGGGCCCCAGTATTCCATTTTTTTTTTTTTTTTTTTGGTTTTTCGAGACAGGGTGTCTCTGGTTTTGGAGCCTGTCCTGGAACTAGCTCTTGTAGACCAGGCTGGTCTTGAACTCAGAGATCCGCCTGCCTCTGCCTCCCAAGTGCTAGGATTAAAGGCGTGCACCACCACCGCCCGGCTAGTATTCCATTTTTTAAGTTAAAATTGTCTCGAAAAATTAAAAAAAAATCTGATTATGGTGTGTGGTTTGGCTGTACAAGAAAACAAAACTGTCCAATTCACATACATACCTATCATAAATTAAAGTTGTGTGGTGTAAGAGCAGTATCAAGTCATGAATTGAATTCTGCTGTGATCTGTAACACATGATAGTGACAAACTACTGGGGATCTAACCCAGTTGTCAGAATGCTTGCTAAGGCCTGGGTTCAGTCCCTACTATCAAAATAATTAAAAAAAAATCAAATTAGCTACAAAGATAACTCTAAAGAAGTCTATTAAAAACCAGGTGAACAGGCTCTGAAAGCGCTCAGCAGGTAAAATCACTTGCCACATAAACCTCATGACTGCTCAATGCCCACCACACAGTGACTCTCAAAAGTTTTCCTTTGACGTCTGTACACACTATGGCAAGCACATACCCATACTCAAATACCCACCCACCCACACAAACAAACAAAAATTAAAAAAAAAAAAAACCACTAACATAGAACAAACAAGCAAACTGCAATGTGTTGGGTATAGTTCACTTCACTTGGCGGAGCGCCTCCCTCACATGCACAAAGCCTGGAGTTCAGTCCCCAGTATCACAGAAAATGTGGTGGTGGAGGGCTCAAGAGGCGGCTCACAACCACCTGCAGCATGAGCTCACAGCTAGTGCCGCCTTCTGCCTTTGTGGGCACTACACGGTGCACAGACATTCACGTGGGCAAAACACTTGTATACATAAAATGAGAATAAATAAATCTTGTTGGGGAATGTTATTTTAAGGTGTCTGACTTTTGTTTATGCTGCATTTGTTTAACTCTGTGAAGCTGTGATTCTTTGCCTGTCTAAAACACCTGATGGTCTAATAAAGAGCTGAATGACCAATAGCAAGGCAGGAGCAAGGATAGGTGGGCTGGCAGGAAGAAAGAATAGAGAGAAGGAGAAATCTGGAGGCCCAACGAGAGGAGGACACAAGGGACCAGCCACCAGTCTGCACGGAAGTGTGAAAGGAAGATTTACAGAAGAGGAAGATAAGAGCCCGCAGGATGAAGGTAGATGGGATAATGTAAGAAAAGCTGGCTAGAACAAGCCAACCTAAAGCCGGGCATTCCTAAGTAATAAGTATCCGCGTGTGTGACTTTTTTTGAGAGCTGGATGGTGAGCCCCCCAAAAACCAAAAGAATAAAACATCACATAACAAAATCTTAAAAAAAAAAAAGATTTTAACTGGATATTGTGGTGCAAGCCTGTAATCCCAGAACTCAAGAGGTTGGGGCAAGAGGACTGCTGTGAGTTCAAGACTCAAGGTGAGACACTGCCAAAAAAAAAAAAAAATACATACATACATACATACATATTCTCCTTTCTCTCTTTCGGGTGAGTGGTGTGGTATATGCACAAGTGTGTCTCAGTACACACGACTAGAGGGTAGAGGCAGACATCAAGTGTCTCCTCAGTTGCACCCCATTTATTTGTTTTGCTTCGAGACAGGGATTTCTCTGTGTTGCCAGGGCTGTTCTGGAACTCACTCTGTATGTAAATCAGGCTGGCCTTAAATACAGAGCTCTGTCTGCCTCTGCCTCCCTCCGTGCTGGCTCTAACACACACACATCACCATACCTGGAGTTTTATACAAATTCTGGGAATCCAAACTCAAGTCTCTCCTCATGTTTGTGTGGCAAATACTTGACCAACTGAACTATCTCCCCAGCCATACTTAAACAAACAAACCATACTCTAATGATTTATTTACTTTGGTGTGTATGAGTGTTTTGTCTGCAGGAATGTCTGTTCATACTTGTGCCTGTAGAGGTCAGAAAAGGACACTTCTCAAAACAACTCTGAGATTCCATCTTACACCTGTCAGAATGGCCAAGATCAAAAACACTGATGACAACTTATGCTGGAGGAGGTTGTGGGGAAAAGGGAACACTTCTGCATTGCTGGTGGGAGTGCAAGCTGGTACAGCCCCTTTGGATGTCAGTGTGGCAATTCTCAGAAAATTAGGAAACAATTTTCCTCAAGACCCAGTAACACCACTTTTGGGTATATATCCAAAGGATGCTCAATTTTGCCACAAGGACATGTGCTCAACTATGTTCATAGCAGCTTTGTTTGTCATAGCCAGAACCTGGAAACAACCTAAAAGCCCCTCGATCAAAGAACGGATAAGGAAAATGTGGTACATTTATACAATGGAGTACCACACAGCAGAAAAAAATAATTTTGCAGGAAAATGGATGGAACTAGAAAACATCATTCTGAGTGAGGTAACTCAGATACAGAAAGACAATTAACACATGTACTCACTCATAGGTGGTTTTTAAACATAAAGCAAAGAAAGCCAGCCTACAAACCACAATCCCAGAGAACTTAGACAACAATGCGGACACTAAGAGAGACTTACATAGATCTAATCTACATGGGAAGCAGAAAATAGAAAAAGACAAGATCTCCTGAGTAAATTGGGAGCATGGGGACCTTGGGGGAGGGTTGAAGCGGGGAAGGGAGAGGCAGGGAGGGGAGCAGAGAAAATTGTAGAGCTCAATAAATATCAATTAAAAAAAGAAAAGAAAAAAACCCACCCAAACAAACAAAAAGGATACAGTAAACTACCTAAGGTTAGTAATCTAAAAATAGAGAATAATTGTGTCCACAGCTAACCAGGAAAGAGTACAAAGGAGAACTTAATTTTTAAACTCACCAGTCTTTCCCAGCTGCTGGCTTATAGAACGAGGAATGGCAAAAGAACTCTCAGTGGTCACAGGCCCTGTCCCCATGGCCTCTCTACTGGCAGTGCTCAGAGGGGAACTGTAAAGTCACAAGAGTTAAACTTTATCTTATTATACTTCAGTTTGGGGTTGTTCGTTTTTGGTTTATGAAATAAAGACCAATGAAAGAAATTAAAATAATTTAGAAATGCATTTGATATACACACCTTTAAATATTTAAAGTAATATACATATTTATTTTAAATAATCAAATACATAAAGCAAGATGTGGAGGCACAGACACACAATCCTAGCACTTGAGAGACAACAGGTGATTCCCTGCTTGATCGCCCTGAATCAGAAATCTGTGGATATTACCCAGTATACACAGTAAGTTAGTATTAATAGGCTAGTGTGGCAGGATTTGTTTTTTTTTTTTTTTAAACTAGTCTATCTGGTAGAAAGCAAAATTATTGAAGCCCATTAACAAGTTGGGTGGAAGGAGGTTAGAGAGATGGCTCAGTGGTTAAGAGTACTGGCTACTGTTCCAAAGGACAATCCTAGGTTCTCTGACACCCTTTTTCACCAGGCATGAATGAGGTGCATGCATAGACACACATTCAGATAAAAGACCTAAACATACAAAAAATTAAAAACACACAAACAAAATAAAACTGTCATTATTTTAGAGTAAAAAGATTAAATCTGTCATTTTATTAAGATTGACTTGCTCTAGCCGGGCAGTGGTGGGTGCACAACTTTAATCCTAGCACTCGGGAGGCAAAGGCAGGTGGATCTCTGTAAGTTTGAGGCCAGCCTGGTGTACAGAGTAAATTCTAGGACAGCCAGGGCTACTCAGAGAAACACTGTGTGTGTGATGTGTGTGGGGATTGACTTGATCAATTACACAAATACACAGGAGAGAATGCTGCGTGCTGTGCAGATCCCACCACTCCTTAGGAAATTAACAGCATACACTTCATTGATGAAATTGCCGATTCAAGATTTAAAATATGAAACAATTGAAATCTTTCTAAAAGTGGGCTGGAGAGACGGCTCAGTGTTTCCTGTCCTTCCAGAAGACCCCAGTTCAGTTCCTAGGCACAGACATCAGGGATCAGGAACAGCTCATGTTACCCTAGTTACCAAGGCTAAGATTAAAAAAAAAAAAGTGATGGCATACATACATCTTTAATCTCAGCACTCAGAAGGCAGGGGCAGGGGCGTCTTTGTGAATTTCAGGCCTTCCGAGATTACACAGAGAGGCCCTGACTCAAAGGAACAAAATCAACAACTAAAACTCAACCAAACACAAAACCCCAAGTTTTGCTGGCATGGAAGTCAGGAAAGCAGGACACGTTCTTTTACTACTGGTGGGAGTTTAAACCACTGTTGGGCATGCACCCAAAGGAGTCTATATCCTACTACAGAGATACGTGGTGTTCACTACATCCACTGTTGCTTTATTCGTGGCAGCCAGGAAAGGGGAGAAGCTTGCATGGTCATCAACTGACAACAGATAATGAAAGTGCGGCACATTTACACAATGGAATATTATTCAGCTAATAAGAAAAATGAAATCATGACATTGTAGGTAAATGGATGGAGCGGTAAACAATCATATCTTCTCTTGAATGTAGAATGGATACAGTACTGGTGTGTGTGTGATACTGGACTCCCCTCTGTATGCTGTGAATATGACTGGTTAATTAATAAACTGGCTTGGCCTGATAATGTAGGGTAGAGCGAGGTGGGGAAAACTAAACTGAATGCTGGGAGAAAGAAAGGCAGAGTAAGAGAGAAGCCATGGAACCACTGCCAAAGACAGACATGCTGAAATTTTACCAGTATGCCACAGCCTTGTGGCGATACACAGATTAATGGAAATGGGTTAAATTAAGATATAAGAGTTAGCCAGCAATACACCAAGCAGTGATTTAATTAATACAGCTTCTGCGTGATTATTTTGGGAGTCTGGACGACTGGGAAACGAATAGGCAGACTCCTATGACATGTGTGTCTGTGCGTGCGTATGTTTGTGGTGAACAGAGATGGTGGTTGTATAACCAAGTATGAAGGATTAAATGGGGTGGGGGATGAGGGCAGAACAGAGGGACAACTAACATTAAAAATCTTTGAAAAAGTCATGAAGACCCACTACTGTAAATGCTTCTTAAAACATATGAAACGTTTCAATGGAGTTATGCTATAACCAGGAACAATGGTGCCATCCCAGAGATATCACAGATTAAAAAGCCCAGCGATGGGCTAGAGAGATGGCTCAGAAGTTAAGAGCAGTGACTGCTCTTCCAGAGCTCCTGAGTTCAATTCCCAAATAGTGGCTCAAAACCATCTATAATGAGATCTGGTGCCTTCGTCTGGTGTGCAGGCAGAACACTGTAAACATAATAAAAAAAAAAAAATCCCAGCACCTAATGGGTTACCTTTCGGAGTTATTTGTTGGTGAGATCTCATAGACTCCCACACATTACAGATGACATATGTCCACTGGAATTTCAGAAATAAAACCATGCTTAACACCTAACACTACTATTGGGGACAAGAACCCATGGCTAGATGGGTCTTAGGAAAGAAACTACTATTAATTCTGATACATGGACATAGTATTAAACTGAAGCTTAATGACACTGCTATGCCACAGATTAGTGTACCCACCTACCCAATGCTTTCTTTAAGACAAGCTCTATGACGGGCGGTGGTGGCGCACGCCTTTAATCCCAGCACTCGGTAGGCAGAGACAGACGGATCTCTGTGAGTTCGAGGCCAGCCTGGTCTACAGAGCTAGTTCCAGGACAGGCTCCAAAGTCACAGAGAAACCCTCTATGTAGGCCAGCTTGTCCTGGAGCTTACTAAGTAGACCAGTGGTGTGGGATTCCCCTCTGTATGCTGTAAATACCATTGGTTAATAAAAAAGCTGCTTTGGGGCTATTGCAGTGCAGAATAGGGCAAGACAGGAATTCCAAGCAGATGCAGGAGGAGAAAGATGGCGGAGTCAGAGAGAAGCTAAGTAGCTGCCGCAAAGACCAACACCAAACACTTACTGGTAGGCCACAACTACGTGGCAATACAGATTAATAGAAATGGGTTAAGATAAAGAGCTAGCCAATAAGAAGCACGAGCTAACAGGCTAAGTGGTGTTGTAATAATACAGTTTCTGTGTGATTATTCCAGGTCTGGGTAGCCCTCTGTGCTGGGATTAAAGGCATGCACCACCAGGGTCAGCCTGATTACTGCATCTCTCTGAATCTTTATCAAGGCAGCTTCATTTTTTGTTGTTTTTGTTTTGTTCAAGACAGGCTCTCTCTACAAAGCCCCAGCTGTCCTGAAAATCTCATTACAGAGACCAGGATGGCCTTGAACTCTTGACAGAACAGCCTACCTCTGCCTTTTGAGTGCTGGGAGTAAAGGTGTGTGTCACCACGCCTGCCCGTCTGGGAGAAGCTTCTTTTTGCAGATGACCATTACAGAGATTTACTACAGCCAGCATGGGGAGGGTAAAAGACAACAGAGTGCTCAGCCCTAACTGCATGGGGAGGGTAAAAGACAACAGAGTGCTCAGCCCTAACTGGGTCTTGGTGGAGATGAAAAGAGCAGAGTAGATGACGACATTAAATGTATTTTCCTGCACAATAGGCGGTTGTTTGCACATAGGAACTCACAACCATTTTGACAGAATACCTAAGGTTAAATCATACAAAATCCCAACATGGAGGAGGAAGTCACAAAGTCTTAGCAGAGAAGCTACAGGCAACTGTTATCTGCTGTTTTCTTTAAGGTAGACTAGACTATACTCCAGCAGTAAAGGGGCAACACAAATCAGACTCCATGGGTTATTAAAACAAAACAAAACAAAAACAAACAAAAAAGACATGAATTGGAGGAGCTTAGGTACTAAAATCAAAAACACTGTATAAAGTTTCCAAAGAATTAACAAAAATATTTTCAAGGGCCTGAGGCTCAGCAGTTAACATCACATATGGCTCTAGGACCAGAGTTTGGTCCCCAGCATCTACATCAGATAGCTCACAAGATCGTGCACCTCCAGTTCCAAGGGGCCTCCAATGCCTGTGCCTCTGAGGGCACCTGCACATGATCACCAGCATATACTCACAGATGTAATTAAAAACCACAAAATAAATCTTTAAAAAAAATTCCAAGTTGTTTACCTTTTAATGTTCTTCATATTTTTAAGTCCCACTGTATAATCTTCATTTAAACACATAGTGTATTCAGATATACCAAAGTTTTCTAATTTAGGAGTTACACACTCAAAATCATCCATCTTTAGAGCACACCTGGGAGTCTTTAGCACTGTGATGCAAGAGTCTTTGGCAGGAGGGGTTTCAGACAGGCATTCTTCTTTAGGGCTCTCAACAGTCTGCGGAGGATTTGGTGGGACTTGGGAGACCATGTACCGCTCAAGTCCAAAATCTGAAAGCTGCGGGCTGCACAGTAGGGGCTTTTCAGCAACAGAACTGCTGGGAACACACGGCTCTGACTGCTCACCCTCCACTCCAGGTTTCTGAATGTCTTCACACACACCCAGCTCCGAGGTCGGGTCACTGACCGTGAGCTCACACACTGGGAGGAAAAGCCAAAGACGTAATTTCTGGTCAAACACCAAGACAGAAAATCTTTTGCTCATTAAAACAACACAGTACAGCCAGCCCACCCCAAAGACTCCATGTCAGTCAACTGTCTCTTCTGCAAGTCTGGTATATACATCTACCTACTTGTGTTCCATCTACACACTTCAGAGAAATGAAACTGCTTTGAAAAAACCAAACCCCCTAAAAAAATCCAATTTCTTATTCCTCAATATGATTTATTAATCAGACTTAAGTTTTCTGAAAGTATTATTAGTATGGAATTAGTGTATAAGCAACTTTATCGTAGATTTAATACAAACTGTAACAATATGATTTTAGACTTAGTTTTGTAAAAAATTTTAATTACATTTTGTTTATGTGTGCCACAGGGTACATGGGAGTCCTGGAAACCAAACGCAGGTTGTCAGGTCAGGTGACAAGTACCTTTACCCAGAGCCGTTTTGCCAGCCATAAACTTAACTTTTGAGTACCCAAGTACAAAAGAAAAGGAGTTTTTGAATCTATGATTATTTTAGGAGGAAAGCAAACTATATTATAAATTTTCTAACTTCCAAAGTAAACTGAATTCTAGTACATGTTGATTAACATACCACACATATATACTTGCTGGATTTCATTAATGCTTTCCTCAGATACAAAGATCATCTTCATAAAAGACAAGCTATTGAAGCATATTAAAGCCGCCCTGAGAGATAAGGAGCAGAATGGAGGCGGCAGCATTAACACTGGGCGACAATCACCAGCTGGCCTCCAAAGCGCTGCAAATGCCAGCTCTAACTAGTCTTTATGAGACCTCATGAAGTAGACACATTAAATACCCCACCTTACACTGAGGAGCAAGGTCAGTTATTAGACCCTGAGAAACGACAACTTTTCAACTGGTGACCCTTCTCTCCCCGGTTCCTAAGTTACAGGCATGTGCTGCTTTGATGAGCCACCACGGTACAGTAAACTACTTTATTAATTTACATGCTCAAGCATCTTGTTCTGCTGAGGAGGAATCTGAACATAAGAGAAACGAGCGAGTTCCCAGTGGTTCTCCAGCTACTTATTGGTGGAGCTAACCAGGCTCACTTGTTCATTTTCAACAGCTCAAAGACACTTTCACCCAGCACCACGGAAAGGAGAGCAAGGGCAGTTTTATTTCTTGCTGCAAGTCTTACTACTATGTAGCCCAGGCTAGCCCGAAGCTTGCTAGTTAGTGTCCAAGAGGTCCTTCAAATTCAAGATCCACAAGGACTGCTCACAGTGTACCACTGACTAGTACAGAGTGCTGAATGCTCACCGAACAACCCGGCAGACAGAACTAAGGCCCCAGTCAAGCCTTTTGTTGTCTTACTCATTCTGCCTTCTTCTGTACTGAGATGCTAAGAAATGAAAGTCAGTCAAACCTGAATCTTCCTTGTCACGTGTCTGATAGCCATACTTCTGGAAAAACTCTCTTAGTTTCATGATGTCTGTTGAATTTTTTTTCATCAGTACTTTTGTTGCCTTTATGAATCTTGTGCTCTCTTGACTTTCCAATCTCGCTTTATTGAGATGAGTGGTGACATCATCCTTTAGGGAGAAAGCAGATATAATACGTATGGTCTAACCTACTGTGTAATGGCTATCATTATGTTTAAAGTTTAGACTTACTATGCTCAAGAGACCAAGAAACAAAATAGCCTCTGGCAATAAGCCCCTAGATTGTACAGGCTATCCCCTAATTGCCCACTTCCCTCCTTCCCCAGACAATGACAACTAATCTTAAAATTGAATGATCTTGTAAAATTTACTTTTCCTGCAAGAAGTCACAAGACTAACTGCCATTTCTGCTTTTGTAATCAAGCTTGCTTACTCTGCTCAAAGAAATGACTAGACTATTGCAAGACAAACATGTTAAAACAGGCCCTACCTACAGCACGCAGAATACTTGTAATCCCTGGCTTTTGTCTTGATAAGCCCTGGGTTGATATGGCTAATGCTGCAGCTTGGGAGCGCGCTCAGGGACTATTCTGGTCCCAAGCAGTCAGGTGCCAGGAAATAAAAAGTCTCTTATTAAAATCTTAGGTGCTGCCTGACTGGTGGATCTCTGAGAGACCCAGATTTGTAACAACTTAAGCTGCAGAAAATCACCCACCATGAAAAATGATAAATAAATAGTACCTTTAGAGTCTGAACTTCTGAGAGAAGGTCATATAAAACTCTCATTGGAGAATCCTCAAAGTCTTCTAGGAAGGAAGGGAAAAAGTTCAATAAGGATGAGGAAAACAGAAAAGTTAGCATAGTTCCTTAGACATAAAAATCCTGCTGGGTGTGGTGCCTTTTAATCCCAGCAGTTGGAAGGCAGAAGCTGGTAGATCTCTGAGTTCCAGGACAGTCAGAGTTACAGAGAAATTCTGTCTTAACAAACTAACAGCAAAAACAAAATAAACAAACAACCTTCAATGAACAAAAACATACACAAAGTACATAAATCTCCAGACATAGCAGGCCAGGTCTTTGATTCACAACTGAGGCAAAAAGCAGACTGATCTATTTGAATTCAAGGCCAGATCCCAGGTTCTGATCAAACACAGCAAGGGCTACACAGTGAGTTCTTATCTCACCAAATAAAGTACACCTAACAGACAAATGTCCTACAAACACAGAAACACAAAATATAGCAACTGATACAAGGGAGTAATGGAGTAACTGCTGTACAATGTGGATGATGAACATGGGGAATGATGCTAAAGGGCTGCATCCTTTAGGGTTCTTTTTACAGGAAAGGTCGAAATGGGCCCATTGTAGATGGGTTTTTCTGGGTTGGTGGTCATGGTTCTGTAGAAGCAGGCTGAGTAAGCCAGTAAGCAGCACTCCTCCATGGCCTCTGCATCAGCTCCTGCCTCCAGGTTCCTACCCTGTTTGAGTTCCTGTCCTGACTTCCTTCACTGATGGGTTGTGATGTGGAAGTGTTAGGCAGATAAACCCTTTCCTCCCCCAAGTTGCTTTTGGTCACGGTGTTCCTTGCAGCAGTAGAAACCCTAACCAACAGTGACTATCATGTTGGATCACTAAATGGACTTCCAAATTCTCTTTGAGATCATTTACATACAGCAAAATTCTTCAAAATGCTTCTCACTGGTTCTTAGTATAGTCAGTTGTGGAACTCTCAGTACAGAAGAAGGTTTAGCTTGCTCCTGTCTTTACAGGTGTCTCTTAGTAAACACAAACCGATTCATTGTAGAGGGAGGGAGGGAGGGAGGGAGGGAGGGAGGGAGGGAGGGAGGGAGGGAGGGAGGGAGGAAATAGCAAACAGTTGTTCCCCCAGTCCTATCAGTGTCATCCTGCTGGCTTTAGACAACCTTATGTCTTTCTGTGTGAGTGGACTTGCCCATTTCGACCTCTAGGTTTACCTACAGCCCAGTCTTAGGGAGGCATTTTTCAACTGGGATTCCCTCCTCTCAGAGGACTCTAGCCTGTGTCAAGCTAACAGATTAGCCTGCACAGTTATAAAGAGGGAAACTGCTGGTAACTATCTTCTGTGTATTTTTTACATAGTAATTAAAGAATTATTACTATTACAACTTTTCATTGTAAAAAACAAATGAAGTTTGTGCAGAGGTAATGTTTTGGTAAGAATACTGACCAGCAAACACTTTGTGAAAAGCAATTTTTATAGAGTTGAAAATACTAATGCACTTTAATCTATTATGCTGTGTTCACTCAAAAACATAAACAAATAAGGCACATTTTAATCCCCTAAAATAAGAATGGCAGAAAGGCTGCTAAAACAGTAAGTTATGTCTCTCGTGAGTTAACATTTCCAAATGGACGGTTTGCCAAAACTAATAGGAATCTGTGTCTACAGGGTGCAATATTATTTAAGACACATTACAATTGTGTCATTTTAAGGAAACGATCTCAAAATTTGAACCACTGTTGCAACTATTTTTTTGTTTGTTTGTTTGTTTTTCCTGTAGCTTTGGAGCCTGTCATGGAACTAGCTCTTGTAGACCAGGCTGGTCTCGAACTCACAAAGATCCATCTGCCTGTCTTTGCCTCCCGGGTGCTGGGATTAAAGGCGTGCGACACCATCGCCCGGCTTGCAACGATTTTTTTAAAGACAGGTTTTTTCTATGGACGGTCTGGAGCTCCCTATGGGGCGCAGGCTGGCCTGAAACTCCCCAAGCACTTGAGAGGCAGAGGCAGAGTGAGTTCCAGGACAGGCTCCAAAGCTACAGAGAAACCCTGTCTCAAAAACAAAACAAAAGGCGTTGGATTTTATTTATTAAAAAAACAAAACAAAACAAAACAGCAGTACTGAGTATTTGTACTGGAAATACAGTATCACTGGAGAAATTGCAGATGTTTGTTAGCTTCAACGCACACACAGGAGAACTGCGCTTAGTGCGTTTCCGAACAGACGAAGGTGGGTGCTGTTGGCAAGCACCCAACACACCCAGGACCTGGCAAACACAGTCAGACTGGACCACACCGGCAAAGCACAGCTCGCTTTCGCCGACCCTGGCGGGGGCCGCCGCCCACTGACAACCGCGCCCGGCCGCCCGCGCCCTCACCGCTGTCCTCGCCGTCCAGCGCCCGCGTCAGCCGGGCCGTCTCGCCGTCCAGCGCGGCGGCCAGACCCCGCAGCTTAGAGTGGAAACTCTGGATAGGGTTCATGCTGCGGGAAGCTGAGCCGACCGCCGACCTCCTCGCTCACCCTCCAACGCGCCGCTCATTTGAATCCTACCGCCCGGTACCAGGCGCCCACTCCGCGCACGCGCAGAAGACTCTCGCGAGAGCGGAGATCTCGCACCGGAGCCCCAGCCAGCCCCGGAGGAAACTCGGGCGCGCGTGCGTCCTCGCTTCGGTCAGTGTCTGAGAACTCGGAGGTGAGAGCGTCTAAGTGAGTTCGAGGGTCAGGCGGGTTCTTTGGGGGGCCATCGTCCCCCGCCGTGTGGTCGGCACCGGTGCCCCACTTCCGGTGAGGGGCAGAGCGTGCCCTGGCATCGGCCCGGTCCCCTGTCCGCCACTTCCGGTGAGGGGCAGAGCGTGTCCTGGCATCGGCCCGGTCCCCTGTCCGCCACTTCCGGTGAAGGGCAGAGCGTGCCCTGGCGTGGGCGCGGGACGTGGGAGGTAGCGCGGCACGCACGCTGCTCGCTTCCCGGCTCCGGATCTCAGCGACCCCGGCTTCCGTGTCCTTTCCTCAGGAGGCGCCATGTTCCTCACCGCCTCCCTCCTCCGCGGCCGCATTCCGGGCCGGCAGTGGATTGGAAAGCACCGGCGGCCACGGAACGTGTCTTCCCAGATGAAGGCGAACATGCTGCGTCGCCTGGAGGTGGAGGCCGAGAACCACTACTGGCTGAGCATGCCCTACATGACGGCGGAGCAGGAGTTCGGCCACGCCGCGCAGCGCCGGGCGCTGGCGTTCGAGGCCATCAAGGCGGCCGCCACTTCCAGATTCCCCGAGCATAGATACGTCGCCGACCAGCTGGGCCATCTCAACGTCACCAAGAAATGGTCCTGACCCGGAGTCATCACCTTTGCGCTCATGGAGACGAGACTGTTGTGTACTTTGCTGGTCCCGGAGCTGAAGGAAAATGTAATTTATGTAACCTTCGACCAGAATATTATTAAAGCAAACGTGATTAATAGTTGTTTCCTCTAGGATATTTGGGACTCTCCCTAAGCACTGGCTCACGCCTGTGACCCTTACACTTAGGAGGAAGAGGGAGAGAAATCTCTGCTGGTGTGCTCAGACCCAGCCTCAGAAAGCCAAGGAAAGAATATTTGGGGCTCTAACTTGCTACTGTGCGTAATTTCTGATCGATTGTCAGTTGTGGTTTGTTTGTTTCCTGACCTCAAATTTGCGGTAGCCTTGCCTGTCTCCAGGTGCTGGAATGAAAGGCATTGGCTCCCTGCCCCACTGTAAAATGTGGCGTTTTTTTTGGAGCTGGGTCTCCCTGTGTATTGAACTCACAAGATGCACTGGCCTCCGCCTCCTAACGCTGGGATTAGCGGCGCCCCTTCGCACCTTGAGCCTTTTTTTTTTTAAATGCTGTTATAAGACTAACCTGACGAGTCTAATCTGAGACACTTGTCTAGGACTTTGCTGTACGAGTTTTGTTAGTTTCTGTCTAGAGCAGCACCTATGTGTGGGGAGCAACTCCGTCGGTTGGGTGATGGGATATGTTGAATGACCATGTCACAGGAGTCACCTAAGACTATCAAAAAACAGACATTTAAGATTCACAACAGTAGCAAAATTACAGCTATAAATGTGCAATGAAAAGATTTTATGGTTGGGGTCACCACACCATGAGGAACTGTATTAAAGGGTCACAGCATTAGGAAGTTTGAGGACCACTGGTCTATAGAGTGTTTACTCCCCAGCACAGTAAGCTGGGTATGGTGGAGCATACCTGGAATCTCAGCATTCTGGAGGTGGAGGCAGATCAGAAGGACAAGGTCATAGCCCACTGTGGAGCAAGGTTGAGGCCAGCCTGAGATACGTGAGACCATTTCGCAAAAGAAAGGGGTATTTTCTTTCAGGATTTGAGCACCATGGGTGGAAGTGTGAAGTGAAAAACGTTTATTAAGGCAGTGGTGGCGCACGCCTTTAATCCCAGCACTTGGGAGGCAGAGGCCAGACTGGTCTACAGAGTGAGTTCCAGGACAGGCAAAGCTACACACAGAGAAACTCTATCTTTAAAAACAAAAACTAACAACAATGTTTATTAAAACTGTTAACAGGAAAGTTTCTGGTTTTTCTTGAGCATATCTCCTATGTTGCCCATGCTGGCCTGGAACTCCTGTCCATACTAAATGGAGACAGACTGAGTACAAGATTTTTTGTTTTGTCAAAACAAAAACCCACACGGCTTTTTTTGAACTATGTCTTACCATGCTGCTCAGGTTGTTGAACCTCTGGACTAAATTGATCCTGACTCAGGCTCCCGGGTAGCTCGCTGGGTCTACAACGCACAGCAACTTAGGGTTCTTTTTTTTCCCCCATGATAGGATCTCACAGTGTAGTCCTGGTGGGCCTGGAACTTGATATGAACACCAGGCTGGCCTGAAACTTAGATGTTCCCTATCTCTGCCTCCTGAGTGCTGGGAGCAGAGGTATGGACTACCATGCCCAGTCCTCCTTTTTAATCTTTTTTTTCTTGAATTGGAGATTTCATAGACAGTTACCAAAAAAGAAAGTAAGTACAAGTCCATTCTAACTACTACCCAATGTCTCTCAATGGTAACACCTTTTTCTCTAACATATCAAAACCTAGAAATTGTCCAGTAGTGGTGGTGGCAGCATGGACTTTGATACCCACACTCGGGAGGCAGAGGCAGGCGGATCTCTGTGAATTCAACCTGGTTTACAAAGAGAAAGCCTGTCTTAAACAACCAAAACAAACAGAAACCAAAACCTAGAAATTGATATTAGTATGATCTGTAGAACCTGGGTAGACTTCATTAGTGTATATGCATGCGCGTTTGTGTGTGTTCAGGTCTCTGCAGTTGTCTGTCACCATGGTTCCATCACTGCAGGGTCTTTCATGCTCCTTGTAACAACCTCTGACTCCCCCACAACTGTTCATCTCTATATTTTCGTTCTTTGAAGAAGGGTCTGTAAGTAGAATGATTTATATTGTCTTTTTTTCGTGACTGTAGTGTGTGGAACAGTCTTAAGGTGGCAGTAACCCTCTGTGTACTGACACTGCCAAAATGCTACCCTGCAGTCACAGAAAACAGTAGTGAATTTGTTCCCTTCTGTACTGTTTGTGGTAGCAAAGCAAGTTAATGAAAGGATAATTCAGGTCTACAGTCCAGAGACTGCTGCTTTTGACACTCTGGTTTACATCTTCCCAGCGACCCACAGATGCTTAGTCACTGTTCATATAGAGGGAATTATACTAGTGTTTCAGAAATGCTGAGTCAAGTCTGCACTTGGGACTGTTTAGGCCTCTTTGCTTATAATCCACCTTCTCTCTGTAATTTGGCCATTACAGTTTTTTATAAGTTTGCAGGAAAGTTTGTGATTCACGAGACAAAGTGAAAACTATGAATGCTTCCCTTCATCCTTTTGCTTCCTATTTCCCTTTCCTCAACAGCAAATGAGTCAACTACCTTTTCTTCTAGATCTCATGGACATAAACAAAACTAGTACACTTAATACGTGATCCATACATCTACTCTTAACACGTAGTGAGCACTTCTAAACATGTAGCAAAACTAGACATTTAAGCAGAGGGCTGAGAGGTAATCACTACACTCACAGGGCAGGGTAATACACACATGAAGCAACAGTTCTAATACACAGATTTTAGAAGGAATCGTTCCACTTCCTTACAGTGGCATTTCATTTGTATTTTAATAAATAAAGCTTGTCTGAGGATCAGAAAAGTAAAACAGCCACACTGGCTAGCCTTACAGACCAGGCAGCAATGATACACACTTTTAATCCCAGCAGCCACACTAGTTTGCTATAGGAACCAGGCAGTAGTGGCGCACAACATTAATCCCAGCCCTATAGAGGAATATAAGACAGGAGACAGCTCTCAGTCCCAGTCTCGTTCTGAGCTGCAGTTTCCTGGAGGCAGGATCATTTTCGGACTGAGGTCAAGGTAAGAGCCAGTGGCTGACTGCTTTTCTGGTCTTCAGGTTGAACCCCAATATCTGTGAGTTTTTATAATCATGCTACACTTCCTACTTTCTACCCTCCTCCAACCTGTGAGATAAAACTCTGGCATGAATGAGTCCAAGTGATGTGAACATCACATTACAAACTTTCCAGCTCTCTAGATTATTAAACTTGATAGTGCTGCTGATGAAACCTGGGGTGTCACATGTTATACAGGGGCTCTGCCAACTGAGCTCCATACCCTGCCTGAAAAGTAGGGGATTTTGTTGGCCTTGGTGGATGCCTTTGATCAGCATTCAGGAGGCATAGCAGATGACAGTTCCAGACCAGTCTGGTCTACATAGCTCCAACCCAGACAGGGCTACATAGTGAGACCCTCTCAAAACAACAAAAATGGAGCCGGGCGGTGGTGGCACATGCCTTTAATCCCAGCACTCGGGAGGCAGAGGCAGGCAGAGCTCTGTGAGTTCGAGACCAGCCTGGTCTACAAGAGCTAGTTCCAGGACAGGCTCCAAAACCACAGAGAAACCCTGTCTCGAAAAACCAAAAAAAAAACAACAACAACAAAAATGGGCAGTGGGTGTGGTCCACAGGATGTGTGAGGACAACTCACACAGATTCAAGTCAATAGAAACTTTATTAGCCAGTCGGTCACTACACTGGGTGTTTGTCACTTGAGTCCTCGAAAACACACCTGGGTTGACATATTTCCCATAACAAGAACAGTTAGCCAGAAGCAGAACTACAGAAGAAGAAAAAAAAGGGTAGGAGACATTTAGAGACTTGCCCAGAACTCTGGACTTTGATGGATTAGGTTTTGTTTTCATTTTTGGCAGGTGTTGCTGCTTCTGTCCATGTCCATTATGCGGTGTTGGGGAATATTTTCAGGTGTATGACTTTTGTTTCCACTGTATTTGTTTAACTCAAGCTGTGTTACTATGCCTGTCTAAAACACCTGATGGTCCTAAAAAAATGTACAGCCAATAGTGAGTGAGGCAGGAGCAAGGACAGGCGGGGCTAGCAGGTAGAGAGTATAACTAGGAGGAAATCTGGGAGGAACAAGAGCTCGTGGCAAGAGAACAAGGAGAGGAGGACATAAGGGACCAGTCACCCAGCAGCCATGGGCGTGAGAGTGAAAGGAAGATTTACAGAAGAGAAAGATAAAAGCTCACAGGCAAAAGGTAGATGGGATAATTTAAGAAAAGCTGGCTAGAAACAAAACAAGCTAAGGCTGGGTCATTATAACTAAGAATAAGTGTGTTTACTTATTCTTACACTTCCTACTTTCTACCCGCAAAAAGCCAAAATAGGGGCTGGTGAGATGGCTCAGGGTTAAGAGCACTTGACTGCTCCTCCAGAGGACCCAGGTTCAGTTCTCAGCACCCACATGGCAGCCTGCAGCTGTCTGTCACTCCAGATTCAAGAGAATCTGACATCATTATACCAATGCACATGAAATAAAGTTAAAGTTTTTAAAAAAGCCAAAATAAAACATCACACTACAATGGTTTATGTTGTGCTAAGATCTGGGACTTGTTACAGGTTCATGTAACCCAGACTGACTTACAAATTATCTTCCCCCAGTGCTGAGATTATATGGAAAGTGAGTTTTTCAAACTACTTCCAGCACACATCTACATCCCCACACTTTGAAAGGACAGCATGATACAGGCAGCACATTCATTTGAAAAGATTGAAGTTGATTGCAGCACTCAGAAGGCAGAAGCAGGTGATCTGAGTTCGAGGCCAGTCTGGTCTACAGCGAGTTCCAGGATTGCCAGGACTACACAGAGAAATCCTGTCTCAAAAAGCCAAAAAAGAAAAAGGGATGGATTGCAGGTATAGTTCAGAAGTAGTGTTTGCTTCCTTACCAAGTTCTAGACCCAGAATAGGAAAAAAAACAAAAGCCAAAAAGGCAGAGCCAAAGCTAGGTCACTCTACATCCAGGTTCACTTGGAGTTGATCAATCTTCCAAATCCATGGCCATTACTACCAGTGGCCAATGAAGTCAGA